CACACGTTCCCAGCTAAACATATTCCTGAGAAATACTCTAACAGCTTCTGTTCATTTCTTATAATATTTTCTCTCCTGTTTTTTTTCCCCCTCTCTTCTGTTTTTATACCTTTTTATACCTACCTGTGATGGGTATGGTTTGAATGTGGCATACCTAATAAACAAACAAACAATCAGGTCACAGGGCTTTGCACTGAGCAACGCAGGGGAAGCACAGTGCCGAGCTGCTGCTGCTTGTTAGCTAAGAGGACACCACTGTATCTACCACAGTGTAGTTTTGGAAGAAGAACAGTATGTCACCATATAATAACAGGTTTTGTCGCCTGTGAGGTACAGTACGAGGCTGAATAGTTTGCCCAGGAAACACTGGCCTGCCCTAATTTCCAAACCCTTAGCACTGATCATGGGATTTTTTTCCTTATGTAAATTAAGGAAGAGCTGGGAAGAGTGTGCCACTTAACAACGAGAGCAAGAGTTTGGAGGGAATTGCATTTGGATGAATTACATGGGTGGTGAAATGAATTAGCCTTCCATTTAATTAGTATAAATGAGTATATCCTTTAAATTTAACCCAGACAGCCTTCTCTGAATCAGGAATTTGCATGCATGGTATCAGATATGCAAAATTCTCTTAATTATCTGCATAAAGATGCCCTTTAAATACATGACTACTGCATAACTAARTGCCCTTGCACAGAATCTCAAAGAAGGAAGACATTAGTTGAAAGGGCTGTAAAAGTGCTGGGGGAATCTTGAAATCCTGCGGACTTCTGCTAGACCTGCACCTGCACAGACCCTCTTATTCAGACGTCTGCACTTCCAACGGAGGTCCGTTGTGCTCAGGGTCCAAACAGCTTGCAAGCTGCTCACTCACTATGCCGTGATTACAAAGATAATTAGAAATAAATAAAGGTTAGATTCCAAGCCTACTGCAAAAGCACTTTTAAAATATTCTTTTGCTCCTCTTTGTGCAGGACAGTAGGGTTGTATCCCGACGCCGCCCGATTCGGATGTTTCTTTGCGGTGGTGCTAGCAGCTCACATAGTTGGTGAGCTGCTCACGCTGGTTTTACTCGGTGTGGTTCAAAACCCCAATATAGTGCAAAGCGGCGTGGCGCTGCTTAACTCCGCAGGTGTCATAGTGGGAACTGGACTGCTAAGGTAGGAAAAAGATTTCTTTCATTACAGTTCTCATGTTAAAGTAACCTACCCCTGCAATAGCTTCATGGGCAGGTGCTAATGGTGCAGAGCAATAATGCCCGGGCAGCAGCGGGGTGGATGTGTGGCTGTGGTTATTTTCAGGGAAGGGACTCTCTGATTGTGCTAGCCCTTGTACAAGATACCTGCAAAATGCATTTAATTATCTTTAGCTATTACTAAAAATACTGACATTTTAAAGATTCTACCCCTCTTTATTCRTATCATTATTACTGTTCTAGTGAGTTAACATTCCATCTTTTTGATATTGAAGATGAGGTGAGAGGGCTGTGGTTTCTTTCTTTGCAAACAATATTTTTACTAGTAATGTTTAATTTGGTTTTCTTGGGTTTTTTTTTTTTTTGGTTTGTTATTGCAATGTGACTGCACAGAATTATTTGTGACTGTCCTAAGCAATTCAGGACTGACTATTAGGACACCTTATTTACCCCTGGAATGCATTTTGAAAACCCAGCCTATACACCTCAGAACTCTTTCCGTAACAGGCTATGACTAAAGTTGTCACTATTTTAATCTGGAGTAGAATCATCTCTTGTAATGTAGCAAGAGCCAACTTAATTTCTTCTCTGTTTAAGGACTATAGAAGATATGCCAACACCTTTCAAGCTGCTAAGTTATCTTACTTTCCAAAAATACAGCAGTGAGGTTCTTGTCGTCAATGAATTCTTTGGCTTAAATTTCACGTGTGGTAAGTGTTTAAAAAAACTTAAGCCTTTAACTAACTTTATTGAGATGCTAAAGTGTGTTTTCCTTCTGCATGCAATTAAAGTATCCTTTACAAGTTAAAGAGGACTTACCTGTTATTAAAGACAACTTACCAAGTTATAAGGATGTACTGTAACTCCATCCCAACAAACCAGAGTGCAACTCTTTTTCTCCTGACTCTGTTGCTCAGGTTTCAGTTTTCCATCTGCCTTTGCCTCACCTTTTTCTTACTCTAAGCACTTAAGAAGGTGAATTTTGCAGCCTGACACGTTCATGAGCACTGCACTACACTGCATCAGATAGAACAGAAAACATCAGTGCAGTGGAAGTCCAACCAGACGCATGTTCTGTTACCAGGGAGGCAACTGTTCAGCTACCACCCCACAGCAAAGGGACCAAGGGCAGCTTGCTGATCTGAAGCTGTCATGGGCACAAGTGCYGGGTTAAGGAGCTAAGTTTGGAATGTCACTGGCACTGAATTCTTTCAAATTGCTACACAGTTCCTGTCCAGTTCTCTTACTGGYGAGTTGGATCTGTCACTCTGCTGGTTATAAACAGGGTGACAGGCAAAACGCCAGGCTCAGGATGGAAGGGTCAGTAACCAGCAGCCAGCACTGGAGGGAAAACTTCCAGTTTGGGACCTGCCCCGAGGCTTTGATCCTCTGCAGGGTCATGTTGTCTTTATCCGCTGTTTTTCATCAGCCTCTCTTGCCCTTCCTTATTACAAAAATGTAACTAGTAACTGTGAGAATATGACAATAACAGCTAGAAAGGGACTACATGATTTCGGTAATATTTAAATACACATTTGTTTTTTAATATGCCTTACAGCCAGCTTTTCTTTTTAAATTCGCTAAGCTAGTATCAATGATATAAGGCTATAATACCCAGCAAAGTGTTCCTTGAGACCCCCTCTATATAGTCTGGTAAGCCTTAACTCTTCCTCTGTTAGGCAGGAATGAAATAGAAACCTCCTAATGACCCTTCATTCTGCTCTTCAAAGATTTGGCAGAGATTAACTACAMAAAGATAGAGAATATCACTTCCTACCTCAAAAGGGTGAGAAAATGGGGACTATAGGCATAGTTCATCATTAAAGCAAATGTTTAGGCTAGATATATTAAACGTATGAGTTAGATATATTAAAAGTATGAGCCAGATCTATTTATATTAAAAGTATGAGCCTAAGTTTTAATTTTGCTCAAAGGAATGTACCTAACTGAACTAACTTTAAGGTTTTTATTTTTTTTATTTTGGCAGGTGGACCCAACACCTCCACTGCAATTAGTTCCATGTGTTTTATCTCTCGTGGCGCTCAGTTCATTGATAAGAACTTCCCTGATGCAACGTCCCACTTCACGACACATTTCTTACTGCTCTATGCTTTTCTACCAGTACTTGTCATTATAGCAATTGTGAGCTTTAAAATAAGAGATATAATTATTAGCAGACAATAAAAAAGCTGTTCTAAAGTTAACATATACTACTACATTTTTAGTTTTGTTGTAGCTGAAGGACTAATCTGTTAGATTTTAGATGGACTTTGGACAGACTGTGATTCTACATAAAACAGAAACATTTTTATCCTTTATCAGTGCTTGTTTCCAAGTGAATGTAAGGTTCTGTCTTGAAAAACACCTTCTCTTTAGTGTGCTCTCTTAACAGCTTTCTGCTGCTGGGGTTCCCCACGCCAGCTGGCGTATGGGAAGCATTACATGGCCTAATTGACTCTTTCAGTGCAGTTTAGTCTGCTGATGGTGCTAATGCTTAACAATCTAATCAACAGAGGAATTCTGTTTTTTCCCCAGCATTTCCTTTATAATGCAAACTGTAAGCAGCACAATATGAATGTGGTTTAAGTGTTACACTCTGCTTTGACACCTTTTGGGGGGATCTGTAGAAAGGGAATAAACTGAACACATGTGAAAAGGCAGAAGCACTCCACACTAATCTTATGCGTTCTGTACAATCATGGCAGCAAGGAGCAATACAGAAGTACCCACCACTTTGTTGTCTCATAAATGATAAGTGAGAGAAGGGAGATATTTTTACCTGTTTTTGTCTTTTTATTATCACATTCTAAATCTGGTTTTAGAATCGGTCTGTGACTTAGTAAATTTGTTTTATTAATAGAAAGTCAACTAGGGAAAATATACGTTGCGAATTTTATGCAGTCCTATGAAAGAAAATCCAATTTATCCTTCCAAATTTATAAATGTGACTTCCAGAATTAACGTATAGCAGATACTGAATGCACAGCTTTTATAACTTAGCTTTCATGTTCAGTGAACCAAGTTATTTATTAAAGAGAGGTAGCTACAGATTACGGCACAGTTAAGTACATTTGCATCTTAAAAACTCATAATAATATAATTATTTTGATAGTTTTGAAATGATACTTTCTTTTAAAAACAGAGTATGAAATCCTCACTGTAAGGAAGTCAAACTTTTTAATTTGACTAAAAGGCCACGATTTTATTCTGATTTATACCAGATTTTATATAGCTTTATATGTTATTCCAAGACACAGATATCAGAGCTGGGTAAAAAAAAAATCTTATTTGTTTAAAATGAATCGCTAACTCTAAAAGCATCTGTTTTTGCTGTTTCCCTGCTGCCAGGCGGGCCCCCGCTTGCCCTGCCGCCTGCCACGCGGCTGTGCAGCAGGGAGGCCCTGGGAGGCCCAGTCCCACCTCTGGGCAGCCGCCTCTCACCCAGCGTCACCCAGTCCCTGCTCCGGGCCCCAGGGCCAGGCCAGCTGCGTGCAGGGAAGATGCCCCAGGCCAGAGCTGAGCTGCGCCTCACAGCGCAGGCCTAATGCAGATCAGTTCTGCCCCTAACCAAAACCTTGTCAGATTGCTCTGAATGACGTCTCTAGCATTGGGATATTTGACAGAAATCTGTTCTTTCCCGTGTTTTTGGCAAAACTATTGACACTTTACACAGAGGAAGAAATACRTAATTGGCATATTAAATTGTATGATACTGAAACTGCAGGAAAATTCCATCAAATTCCTGAAGTTTTTAAGAGTCAGACAAACTTAGTTTTACTTTATTTGGACAGGTTTTTTGAAAATATAATAAAAAAAGTTACCAAATTATGGTCCAAATACAATCTTAAATTTTGCCTTTGAATTACAGATGCAAGTAACTGGAACATGATGGCTAGCATGCATACATTTAAATGTAGATTTAATCATTCAAAACCAAATAACGAGAGGTAGGAATGACTATTGCTGGTCTTCACACACAAACCCAACTCTGAAAAACCTGAATTTCTCKTCCCACCCACACCCTACTTTTAGAGCTGTGTCTCAATACTAAGACATACTTTAATTTGGACTGACTTTTAAACTAACATACTTTAATAAAAATAGTTAATATTAATAAAAATAACAGGAATGCTTAATAAATACCTTGTTATTTTTGTAGTTTGATGTTGTAGCTTTTTAACTGCATCAAAATGAACTGGTCACATAATGCTTAAAAAACCCAACTTTGTACATGTTMAACTAAAGGTAGCTCTAGCAGCTCATCAGTCCAGACCAAAATCCATTTCTTTCCAGGTTTGAGAGGCATTTCTCTTGTATTGGTCAAGTTCCTAAATCAGAAACATATATACATATTAATCCAATATCCTCATGACCAGAATTGGTTAAAAAAAAAAAAAAAGAAAGAAACCCATGCAACACCCCCTGAACATTTAAACCACAAGCAAAAATTTTTCACTGTAGGAAAAAAATGTACTGTATAAATTTTAGAATAATTTTTACAAAAATAATAGTGCTATATTTTCCCACATTTACTTTCACATTTGATTTCTACGATAGGAGAGATTTTTTGTATTTGAGTTTTTCTTAGATATTTACTTTTRAGACAACAGGAACACAGCAAAGATACAGGGCCACGTTATTACACATTTTCAAAACAGAAATCAGAATCACTCTATCAATAACACTGTTTCATATCCCCAGGTGCCCAAGTTATGGTCTCTCAAAAGCAGGACATATTGGTAATTCCTTAGGAATATGCAAAGAAGCTGTAAAAACAAAGCCTACTTTATTTCAGCACGGGGCCAAAATGAGCTTCCATAACACTTTACACATCACTGGTGGTGGTAACGCGCAGAGCTGCCTGTGGACCTTGGAAAACTCTACAGACCTAAGGCTGCAGGTACCAGGACTATGCATTCCTTTTCTGCTGTTTGTGTTTTATTTAGCAGATAAAATAACCCCTCTCAGATTCTACTATTTAGTAAATTACCTGTGAAAATAAACTGCAAAAAAGTGTGGTAATTAYAATAATGCATCTTCTAGAGAGTGTTAGAGCATCCTCCAAACTCTCCGTGTTGATTCTTACAAACACCCACAGGCTTGAACTGCGGAGCTGTGCAAAGAACGAATGCCTTGCAGGTGGGAACGAGGAGCTGGTCTGCGCGTGCACACACCCCGCACTGACACCAGTGCACAAACAACCTGGTGACAGTCAATTTCTTTTTCTGGAAAACTGCAGGCCTAGAAGGAAAGGCTATAGGAACATTAGCAACCACTTTCATCAATGCAGTGCAAGTGCCAGGAAACATTTCAAAATTTTTTGTTTTTGGCATGAATGATTTAAAAATCATTATGAGTGCTTTACATAGATTTAAAAATGTAAGATTTACACAGTATTAGCAGGAATGTGATAATGAGGTAACTGTTTGCCCTCATCAAAGCTAAAAAAATATGAATTCTTCTCTTTGATATGCTTTAAAAAGGAAAACTTAAAAAGGTGGAGGCTATTTATTCGTTTGGATATTAATTCTAAAACAAAACAAAAAGACAAAATATATATTATATTAACATATTAATATTTTATTACATATATGATGATTAATATTATTACATTATATCACATCATATTAATTCTCCACCAAAAAAAAGGAAAGCCGTCAGGAATCCTAATGTTGTATCTGTAATTGGAGTTGTCCAGCTATTGAAGCAGCTTAGGATGATGAAGAAATATCAGATAAAAAAAACCAACAACAAAGACTTATAGGAGGAATAGTATAAAGGCAGCACAGCCACTGGAAAGCAGGAATGCTTTGTATATCATTGTTATTTTGRTTTTTGAAGAGGGACTAACTAAAATAATGGATGTTTGGCTTCAGGCATACAAATACTGGAAGTGACAAAAAGCAACCTAAGAGCCCTACCTGGAGTATTTAACAGGAGTATGAATCCAGAGCAGAAAAAAAATAGGACAGAGAAACAAAGAAAGCATAAAATATATATGCTATATGAAAATAATATACAGAATTCACTCTATGATCTAAATAAGTATGGGTGTGTATATGAAATAATAATATATATCTGTGTGTACACACACACACACACAAACAGGCATACCTTTTGACAAAAAGCAAAATTTGTAAAAATAAATAAAACTAATATTTAGAAGCTGTGGAATCTGTCCTGGAGACACACACACAAACACCCACGTTGAGGAGAATATGATATTAACAAGCAAACTGTTAATCCCGCTGCTGATCCTGTTCCTTCTCACTTTCTAGGCTGTGCCCATTCTCTGGGACTATGACAAACTCCAGAGAAGCTCTGTTCTGTTTTCTTTATCCTCTAACCAAGCCTACACTGGGAGAATCCTGTATGTGGTTTCTGCATGCTACAGTAGGTCCAAAAAAAGATTTTTTTGTGTGTTTCAGGACTTAGTGGAAGCAATTTCAACRGCTTCCTCAGCAGTGCGAGATGTTCGGAAGCACCACAGGTTAAAAGCAGTCAGGYTGGCGCGTACTCTGCGTGACGCTGCCTGGACAGTTAAGCATTGCTCAGACCACCACTACAGAACGTATCGCGTCCAATCTACATCCAATAAGTTGCATTATTCATCACAACTCCAGTAGTCCTGAACTCTTCCAGCTGCAAGGTAGTCTTTACTTAGTATTTTTACTCCCTTATTATTCATATAAAGTAATTATGATTTTGGAACATACTGAACTCTTGGAAACTTGCCAACCGTCAGGAATAGAAAGCGTAYTGCAGCGTTTGAAGACATGCATGTATTCGGATTTATGCTAGGTTAATGATTTCCATTCTAATATATTTTTTGAAGAGCTGAAACTAGACAATGAAATTTTATATATGACAATAATGCTACTGGTCATGCCTAAAGGTGTTACGTAAAATACTAGGCTCYGATTTTTCAAATCTGAACAAGCTTTCTTGAGAAAGAGGAAGATAATTTAGCAATTTTTTTTTTTTTTTTTGCTATAACTTTAGCTAGATTAGTCAAGGAAAGCTAGTCAACGGGGCAGCCCAAAACAATGCAAAATGACAAAGTACCAAAAATATAACAGATATTAAAATTACATAGCCATTCCAATGGGACAGGAAAGCTTTGAACAAAATGAGAGTATTCTGAAGTCATATCAGAGTAAGGCTGTGTTTAAGCAATAGTAAATGAAAGGGRAAAAAAAAGGATGCAATAGGAAGAAATCTCTACTAAATATTATCTTAACAAATTCTTTGATTCACAGGGGAGAGAAATATTATCAGGAAGGTAGATTTCTTCAGTTCTGGTGTAAAACTAAAATAAATCCCTGTAAGGCAGAAATGTAATGGTAAAAAAACCCTAAACAGACCCAAACATTTCAATGTTACCTCAGAGCCTTTTTTGGGAAAAACTACCACCAGCAGCACCCCSTTCCCTGGCTCGGAAGTGCTCTGCTCTCCCTGTGACCCAGAACTCCCTGTTAGGCTGTGACCACACACGCGCCTACAGCAGAGGAGGCAGCCAAACACGCAGCCCCCTCACAGCAGCMGCCACCTCCTGTGCTCTCTGCGTGCCCAGTGTGGCTGGCTCGGGTCAGCTTTACAGAAACAGCAATTTAAACCTGCTTTAAACGGTCCTCGAGTGCTCGAAATAGTCTTTGTGTGCAAGCAGCTCGAGTCCCAGGTGTCCTAGATGTCTCTGATTGCCATAAAGCAGCAGATTTTTTTGTCATCCGTAACGCTTCTGTATTTCAGTGTGTCTGTAAATTCTTCATCTGTCAAATGGGGAAGATCACACCTAGTCTTATAAAGACGCTGGGAAGAAAGACTTAACTGATGTTTGTGAGGCACTCGGATAAGATAACGTTACTGCACATTCTCAGGGAAAAAAAAAATTAATACTTTTGTGTTCATTGAAGTGTCTGAATGGCAGGTTGGGAAATATGGTACACAAAGAATAAAGATGATGAAAAGAAATACTGAACAATTGAATGAGACACCAGGAAAATAGTATATGATCATGTAATTAAAGACAATATCTATAAACACAGAGGAAAAATTAAGATTGCAGAAAAAGCCTTAATTGTTGCATTCTTCAGTTCTTAAGGAGTGACATCATGACTAACTTGCTTTTTATTCAGTTTCTTAAAGAACTTGCTCTCAAACTGTGGCAGGAGACCTCTGAGAGCTGATTTCAACCCGCTGTAATAAAAGGCCAAGTCAGGCAGGCAGCCCTGGGACACAGACTCTTCCCGTGGGTCCTACAGTATTTATTATCAGCAGAGATAAGTCCTCCGTATTCAGATCCAGGGCTCAGAGTACATTCCTATCATTCCATCTTTACCCACCTCCCTACCAAGCCTTTATCTGCCCCCTCCCTTGCCTAATCAGCACCAGGAACCATTCTGATTGGGACCGGTTATCTGATTATTTGAGCTCTCATTGCTCCTGTGAATGCAATGATATTGCTGCTGTCAAATGTCTAAAAGAAAAAGGTCCACGCACCTATTTTGACCTATAGTAGCAGAAGACAATAAGACAGCTAAGACCTGAAAAAAAGACACTTCAAAAGACCCTTGAAGAGCTTCCATCTGTGGCAAAGAGCATTTTTTAAAGGAAACAGAGCAGACATGATGTATCATTTCACTGCTAGAAACATTTAGAAGGGACTAAGAGAAGAACAAGACTTTTATGAACTCACAGGTCTTCCTGGATGCAGGTGCTCCACGTGCAGCTCTAAAAGACAATGTGCTAGTTAAAACACACTAAAAACGTATCTTCCATGAAGAGCCAAGGTGCTGCGTAAGAACAATGCTGAGATTGCTTTCAGAGAATCAAAAGGCAGCAAACAGCAAATCTCAACGGTAATAATTGATATAACCCTGCAAGGTGTAGATTTGGTGGATAAGAATTGAAAAAGGATTCTGAAAAGACACAGGTGCTCCACCTCGAAAAAGGCACGGTGAAGAAACAGCAACCTCAGGGAGTTTTCCAGAACAACAACAACAAGAGCCTGGGAACAGGGGGCTAGTCTCACAGTCTGAACACACCCAAGAGGCAAAATAATGGGATGTGAAAGAGAGCATTCACATGGCCGAGTGCCGATGAACTGGACCTGAACTTCCACACCCAGAACATCTCTGGATGGGCCTCTGGAATAAATCCGAACAGCTTCGACATGGGACTGTGCTAGCTATTTTTTTTTCCTGTACTTCCCTTTTTTGGCTCTTCTCTAGTTTTGTACTCAAGAACTTAACCTTGTATTTTGCTGAAATGTTTCCTTCTCCAAGCTGATTTTACATTACAAATAACCTTTGCTAACCCTTAGCAGACACATTATTTCGTTACAAATGCTGGCTGCAGACAAACCCTTCAAACAAGTATGCAGCCTTAGAAGTCCCTGGAAATAAGAATGTATTATCCTACATACAAGGATCCAATCTGCAGCTGGCTATACCAAATGCCAGGACACTGAAAGGCAAAAGAGGGAAGCAAGACAGAAACAGCCCTATTTTTATGAAGCTCTGCATTGTCCTARCCATTTTTTGCAGGATTACTTAGCAGTCCTGGTCAAGACAGGCAGATCATTGGATATTCTAGTTCTAGTATCAAACACACTGACAAGATGCTGTGTTTTGTGTCCTACTGCTATGACTTTGTGCTTACCTTTCCTTTAAAGCTTATCTTTAAGATAAATGAGCAAACTGGCTATCACAGAGTCCAACGTGGCATACTAATTAAACGGAAGTAACCGAGAGCACAACAACATGCACTTAAGTGATCTCGGAATATGCATCATCATTACATGCAATTTCATTTTGCATTAGGTCTCATGATTTCTTTAGCAATGTCGCATATTAAACATTTTAATATAGTTTTCCTCCTAAACAACGGAGAGCATACATGACTCTAAAAGAAAATTATACTCATAAATTCCAAAAATCAATGTGCTTTATAATGAGAGCACTTTAATGATTTTAATACTGCCCTTGATATAACAGACATTTAAAAACTGATGACTACATTAACAGGATATTAGAGGCACTAAAGAAKTTCAAGGCCCACAAGAGATTCTTGCAGTTGCTTTATTCTTTTACATTATTAATACGTTCTAGCCTCAGCCTAGTTCTCCATGGATTTTTTTTCTATAAAATTAACTCATCATAAAAATCTTGGCAAATTCAGAAGCTCTATGAAATGAATACAAAAAATTCCCTATACTTCCTGCCCTTTATACTATTCCCTAGACTTACTGCTAACCAACTCCCAAATAAATACAAGGTAGATAAGGGGAGCAACTTCCATCAAGAAACCCTCATAGCTCGGCTTCAATATGGATGATGAGATTATTTTAGTGAAATAATCCTTGAAGAGAGGGAGGGGGAAAATTCAAATCCTTAATTTCTACTGAAAACACAGAACCCCCAAATTTTAATGTTTAACAATGTTCCTCCTGCTACATCTTTAGTGATCAGAAAACAAAGCAAGTTGGATAAAATTCTTGAATTAAAGTTATTTAAAAGCAAAAAGGGTGCTATGGTTATATCCTATGATTACTTCAGCAATGGTAGTAGTTCTGGAATAACAGACCGAATAACCACCTACCTCATTTTTCTGGGCTCTCATGACATCAACTTCATACTCGGCATATTGTGAATCCTGTGCAGGGTCCTTGGGATACTGTAAATCATAGGAACTCTGAAATAAAAATGAAAAGACACAAATTGTAAATTTAAACTGCCATTCATTTCACAAGATGATGCCAGGTGGTAGAGTCTAATGGAAGCATTTTGCTTATAATACAAAAATATTAAAATGCTGCAATTATGGAAGAGTTTTTATTATTGGACACAGATCAAATTAAAAAATAAGATTTAGTATCTTGAATTGGCAAACCAATGAGAAAGAATGCAATTTGAGCTTAAAGGAAAGAATATATTCTTATTTGGTAGCTGTCAGATACTTAAGTGTGTACCTTTGGAGGAAATGTTTTCTCAAATACTTTTTTCCACAGCTCCAAGGGTGTATTTGCATGCAGTTTTCCAATGTCGCTATCAGAGGCAGGTGGTGGTCCTAAGGATTACAGTAGTGCACAGAGTATTACGAGGATGTTGTCGTAATAATATGAATTATCAAATAATTTTGAGCAATGGTCCATCTAATTTAATATTTTATCTTCATCAATGGCAAGCTATTACAAGTCTTGAAAAAGCACTGACCTCCTAGCATGAAAGAGGCTGTGTTGCTATTGCATATTACATTTTAGTATCTAAGCCTGCCCCGTCTTACTATATGAAGCAGTACCAGTACTTCATTCAACTGCYTCGCAATACTGCACAGGACATTCTCACTACTATAAATACTGAATCTTCATTTTAAACTAAATGTCATTTGCTTCAAAGATCAGTTAAAACTAATGTGGAGAAGCATCAGTAAAATCATGTGCCAAAATGTAAATTTATCTTATATCTGTTGTGGGTTTTTTTCTACTTTTCATAATCAATTTATGATATGAACACAGTGAATAGGAAATGTTCTAACCTATTTGGTGCAAGGAATCCAGGCCTGCTGGTATGAACAGAGGTTTGCTATGATCCACTGACACTGACTTGCTAAGGAGAGGGGAAAAAAAAATCAAGTCAACACTTAGTGATCAACAAGAAAAAATACATTAACATCTAAATAAACCTGCACATCAGCATATCTAAATATGCCTGCTGCACAGAGACAGGCAGCTGCAGGAGTAGGGTATAAATCTGCATGCAAAAAAAGAATCCCACAGAAACGACAGCCTTGAGGAAAAAAAAAAAAAAAAAGGTGATTAAAATGTTTTTATTAAATAATTTTAAGCTCTGGGCAAGTCACCTAAGAGTAGGACAAAACTGTATTACCTTTTGTCGATGCCAAATGCCAAGTTATTAATTAGAATACGGGTTTTCAGCAGCAGAGCCTCAGATTTACTGGTAAACTAGACAAATTCAGAAAATAAAATATACACCATGATCTTCCATCACAGAAATATTACATGTTATGTCATCTGCACAGAGGATTACAAATAGACCCTGGCTAGTTCCTGACCTCAATACATCTAGTGTATATCCATTGGATTCGCCAGGATAAAAATCTCACCCTCCCTTTCCAAAACATGGAAGTATTTGTCACTAAATATATAGATCAAGAAAGATTAAAAACAGCATTAAAGAAGATTAAAGATTAAATTTTAATATATGGATTCACAGCTTCTGAAGTGTGCACATTAAACTAATAGATTTTTTTTTTTTGCTTGAGACTAATGACTTATTAAGATTTTAAACGACATTAAAAATTATCCAGAATACCATGAACAAAGATGTAATGACCAACTATAAATGTGTTCACACGTCATAAAGGCCGTTTGATAAGCACAGACAGAATTGGTACAGATTTCTCAAAAAGAGCTCCCAGAATATCCTCAGAAGCAGAAATGCTCATTTCTCTACACCCCAAGTTACATCCCAAGTGAAAGAAATGAAGTTTCTCTCAATCATTTCAATGGGAATCATGATTTAGTATCCAGAGAGGAGTATTAAGCTCCCAGTTTTTCATTTTTACTTAAAACAATGTTTAATGACTTAAAACTTAAAAAGCTGACAGATTTCTATTCTGCTTTATGGCATGTAAATTCCTCTTTTGAGAATACAATAATATTGCTGTCTTTTAAAATTTTATTTAATCTGTCAGCTTAAGTCCTCTCAAAACTGCAAGACCTAGTCTTACAGAGAGGCTTCAGGTGAGGACACCTGCCATGAAGACATGCTCTTTGATCCAGGACTTCAAATCTACAGAAGTCCGATCGCTTACGCAGCTTATGCCAAGCTCATACTGCTACCAAATGGGCCAGTTCTCTACTTCTATCCAGGGTAACCTTTTTTTTTTTAAATCTGTCCTGCTTTCTTGTACCAAGAAAAACTTTTGCCCTGCTGTGCACGAAGTGCACTGGGGCACTGAGCTGCCTAGCAGGCAGCACCATTTTTCTCTAGCTTTTGCTGGTACCGGTTTATTCTTAAGAGTATATTCATCTATCACCTGCCAGTACCTGCAACCCATTTGAGAAATTAGCTCACGGAGAAAGCTACTGTAAGACCAAGTACATCCTATTTTCTCTAGCATTTTTATATTTCTATTTTTCAAAATACTATTTCACAGCATAAACATTGCTCATCTTCTCCCTTCCTTACTTAAAAAGGGAATACACATACCACTAATGATGCTCCATAGTAATGTGAAACAAATCGAAGAGTCTTGCTTATGATTTTCCTCATTTCAGAGTCAAACTCCTGAAAAAGTTGATATTGAAATGTACGTGTAAGGAACAAAACCCAAGATATTACAGCCAGAAGTTTTCAATTTTTTAGTTAAACTGCAATGCATTAGGTTACAATATATGAGGCGTTCGGCTGTCAGCATAATTATATCTTAAGACAGAATCAGTAACAGCCTACTCTGATTGAAAAGAAATGTCACAATTTCTCTTTGTTTCTTTTTACAGAGGCAGCTTAATTCAGGCAGTGTATTATTCCCCAAAAAGTTTCTTAATTGGGAATGTGTATTCATTTTCCAATTAGTTTCTATTCCCTTTTGTTTTAAAATTTCAGAAGTAGAAATACTGCCTACTAGAATAAGGATTATTTCTTTCTTTTTGTCAAAATATTTGACTTTCAGTAAGCCTTTGGCTATATGCTTTCCAAACTTGTAACATTTGCAAGACTTGAAAAGTGCATCAAAATATCTTCTTATCAATAGAYCATATAGATGGACTTGAAAACCTGGTGCCGGTGGAGCCCAGAAGATCTGTGCACAGAAGTCAATGAAATGAGGCTTTTACCATGTTTATTACATGAGAATTACTGATTYTAAGGGACTTATGGCTCAGCATAAAGCCCCAGTGTGAAAGAATGTCCAGTACTTAATACAAGTAACTCAAAGAGTCGGCCTAGTACCAAAGCATTACATTGTCATCTAGGGAAGAACAAGCTGCCAGCAAGGCAGCTAAAATCAAACACGYTTTTCTAGTTTCTCATGAGCACATGCTCTTGAGAATTAAGTATATATTTGTTTGGATTTTTAAAATACTGGGTGAGAATCCAGCAGTATTGCTCCCTGATATTTCTTCTTTCTCTCCAACCATCCCTTTAAAAGGTGCAATTACTCATTGGTCTGTCTTTTTTTTTTTTTTTTTTTTAAAGCAAATCTGAGACTGAACTACACCAAAAATTGTGACCAGCTGACTTGAGAGATGCCCATCGTTCACTGCCATACAGATACAGATACAGCTGCAGTCAGAAGGGACAGAGCTGGATTTCTCTCACTGTAAAATGAAGGGATTAACAACATGTCTCCTTACCTCCCTCCTTGGTCTGCACTACTTATATTTAAAGACCTTTYTAAGTATACCACATAAATCATAACACTTGAGGATATTCTGTGAAAGAATGACATCATGTCTCCCATAATGCCACTTGATGAAAAGATTTTTGGTGGWACAAGGCTGACATATTTCTGGTCACGTGATTACCATTCTGGCACCAAATGAGTACCAAGATGGTACTATATTGTAGAATCTTTAGCAGGAATCTTTAAATTATAAATATAAAATTGTTTTATTTATCTTTTCAATATAAATATAGAATATAAATATAAAAATTATAAAGTATTACTTACATGAAAAATATCATATTTGCTTCCAATTATCACGAGAGGTAATGGAAAAGGGTCAACTAACTCATAATCCTATTAAACAGATATATTACAGTTAAGCAGTGTAAGAAAAGAGTAGAGGACCGAGACAAAGGGAAGACTCTAAGACTTAATTCACAGAAGACAAGGCTTATTTTTTCAAGATCTTAAATTAGTTACATAACTTTAATTCAGTAAATTTTAAACAGCTAACTTTAGACGTAAGTTTTAATAAATACATTGCAGTAACTCTCAAGTTATCTGACAGACTTCAAGAAATCTACACGGCATTAAGCTAGACCATCACGTCAGCCCTTGTGGTCAGTACTCTAGKGGAGCTCTCTTTCTTGCAGCAAAGCTCTATGTTGTAACCCAGGCTGACCTAACTCTTCCCTCCTAAAGCTGGCTATTTCACATACAAGTGAAAAGATTGTCAGCATATTGGCAAGAAGTTACAAATAYTGAAAATCCTCTACTTTGAGAGGAAATAATGGCTTCGTTCACATTCTGCCAGGCAAAAGCTTTCAGCAATACTATCTTCACTTAAAACTGAGGCTACAGAACTGAAAAAAAAAAATAGGGAAGAGCTCATCTATTAACTAAGAAAAAAATTAGAAAAACATCAGAAACCTCTATTCATCTGGCCTTTCAACTCTGGATTACAGACTACTTTAGGTGAATTCAGCCTTTTTAAAGAAAGTTTGCCCTTGATAGGTTTATGTTTTTCCACCATAGCTAAACATTCCTTATGCAGTATAGTGGAATACATCCAGTCATTAGAAAAAAAGCCCAACACTCTCTGAACCTCATCAATTCCTGTTAATCATAAAAATATCTTTAGCTACAAAATATCCGATAAAAATTTCCTTGAACTGACAGTTACTTGTTTGACTATAAAAAGACAGCATTTCCTCCTACAAAAGGGGCATTAATTTTTTCCCCTCTAACAATGATGTGATTTTAAAGAGAAGTCAGTAGTAACATAATATTGTGTTTGCCATCCCTTCTGTTTTCCATAATGAAGGCTGAGTAGAAATGCCAGTTCAGAATGTATAATCATGTCCTCTACAGGGCAAGTATAAAAGCCTTTTCTTTGTAACCATTCATGGTGTTATCTTTTTTACTTATTGAAAAAGTCTATGTTTTTCAGATACTGAAAGCCCAACATGTAACCCAGATATTGGGGCCATGACTTGTGTCCATGTACATTTGAAGGCATCTTCCTTTTGTGAACTGCATTGTGAAGGCATCTTCCTTTTGTGAACTGTACAAAACCCTAATCTGTCAGAACTGGAATCCTATACTCTATGTCTAATGAGTGTTGCATATGTTGCTTTCTTAAAAACATAAAGGCACTTTTCAATTTTTGAGCTATATGAGCATTTGCAGTATTACAGCATTTTATAAAAGTCACAGTTAACTAGATTTATGTTCCAAGTCTTTGAACTGCTGAATACCTATTTATGCATTATATACACACAACATTTGGAGAGGATAAAGCACAATGCCTTTTCATTTCTATTGCGCATAATCTAGTTTAGCTTTTCCAGAGATTTAGTTAGCAATTATGTTTAAAGAACTGATGTTAACATTTCTGAAACTTTATAATTTAATTAGTTGTCAGATTATCAAAAGGCATTGAGTTTGTGATAGACATTTAAATAAATGCAAAGTATATAGTCATGTTGATGGCTGTTATAACTATATTCTTTGCTTAAATTTGTACCTTCAGCTAGTCTCTTGCTAGATGACTTTTGTACATTCTAGTTTTCATCTTCATTTAAAAAAAGATGAGGGGGGAAAAAAGCAAACTGCTATTCTAAAACTATTTCTTTTGATTGGTGTAACATGCCATAACAATCACATTAGATATCTAACAAAAAGATATAAGAAACCTTTTTTCCTTGTTTCTGCTCTTATTGAATTTTTATTAAATTGCTATAATTTTCCAGTGAACAGGTTCATCTACATCAAATGGATTTTCAGTCATGCATAAAATTCTAAAAGAGTTGTTTACGATTTTCAAACGCATTATCTTTAACTGTATAAAGGCCTATGACACCTGGAGAAAATATTAGAAATAACTTACTGGATGATCCTTCTGTAGATTGTTCCATACCCTCTGTTTAATTTCAGCAGCTACTTCAGGATTCGTCTTCCCCAGTTTTGTCAGAATTTTGTTCACATGGCTCCTGGTGACCTGCAGAAGACTTTCCATTGTAGTCCAGAGTTCATTAGGTTTAGACAGATCCAATACAAGAACTATAGAAAATGCTCTATTTAAGGAAAAAAATAAGGAAAAAACCCAACACATTATTTAGTACAATCTTTAGCACATAAAACCATTTTCATATACATTTCATATACATTTTCATATACCACCATATCTATACTACAAATGCTGAAAGCAAAAACTGTGAAATATATGTGCTAAGACAGAATTAAATATAGCAGCAAGGGTGACAGCCCTTAGTGATACTTTTTAGGTTTGCTAAAGCTTATTCACTGTCTCACGTTCCAACAGCATGACAATACAGCTGTGAAGGACATCACAAATGCAGCAATCTGCCTGGACATAGTGATTCCTTCACATCCCACCCTGACTTTGGAAAGACTCTGAAGCAGAGCGATAGCAGAAACACTACAAAGCAAAGTCCAATTTCACTTTAGAATACTACCAGAAAAAAAAATCCTGAAACGGTCTTTGGGGAAACTTGATACTATTCATGGAACTATTAAATATGCCAGTTCCTTGACTATAGGCAGATGAGCAAACCAGTGAAAAACACTTTACTGAAATGTAGTGGTTTTGTGTGGCATGTTAAAATACTGTCTTACAAACACAGGTGGTCTGAAGCTTCTGGGTGGGATAATAACATTGTTCTTTAAGGTCATCCATATCAGAATACTCCTTATCAACAACAAGGGAGGAGAAGATTGCTGGTGCTCAAGTTACGTTCAGACTGATGGTGACTGAACATTCCTAGTTGATTTTTCCCACCAAGTCACCAAGCAATTCTGGCACCAGAAAGAGKTTTTTTTTTCCTTCTGTATCATTATCCTATTAAATCGTAACATTATCTCTGTAGGCAGTACAGGATCAAATGTAAGTGATAAATATGGCAGCCCTCCCATTATTTTCTACAGAAATTAAAGTTCATTACCAAAGAAATAAAGCAATGCACCAGAATTTTAAAAAGTGGGTTTTCTTTTCCTTCCTGTTCACCCCTTCAGCTCTTTTTTTACCCCTTAACTAAACAGAAAACACAAAATGCCACCCTACTGTCACCTTCTCTTTTCTTTATACAAACAGCATCTACTTCTTTCTTCACATTACATCATTACTCTTTTCTGGATTAGTCTCCTTCCATTCCCTTCATTTTTTGTTAATTCATTTTCATTTTCTCTTTAGATTGTTTTAATAATTCTGTTTTCAGAAACATCATCTCTCTTCTCCATACGATCTTCTTTTCATCACACAGCCACCACACTTCCTGAAATCCACAAGTAATTTCTCCTTGCGATCTTTGTGTTGTTCTYGACCATGAAAAAACTCCTCAGAGAGACTGCATACAGCAGTGGGAAAACAAATTTTCTCTCTGATATGCCTTGAAGCTGCTTTTTTTTTCCTGCTCTTCCACTGATCATAAGCAGACACTACATCTTCTCTTTTATGCATTTCTTGTACCACCTRCTTAAAGCCAGCTCAATTCCCTCATGGTATTGCTTTCTCTTGTGCTTGAAGACTGTTAAGAGTTTGGTTTACTGATAGAGCATCACAAAAAAAGGTCAAAGTAGAGTTTCAGTGGTTAAAGTTTTCCACAATGAAAAATCTAGAGGTTTACTTTTGTTTGAATGTTGAGATGAGCTGGGATGAGCTTTGTTATTCTAATATTAAGAACTTACCTTATGTTGCTGCTAGTAATCGGTACTCGAATCAGTTCCTGTAAGGAGGTCCCACCTCCTAGTTCCCAAAAATGAGCTATRTCTTTAGGCTGTAAAAGAGTTTCTTCGCATTAGAAATGTGCCTTTCCATGCAACAAAAAACAAAGATATTGATGCTGGTAAAGTTGGCTTTTACATGCTAGTCGCTCTATTATTTTATAATTTTTCTCTAAAGACAAACAAACAAAAATGGACAAAATACCAATAAAGAAAAAAAAATTACATGTTCAGGAAATCCCATATAATAGTTATGAAAGACTCCTGACAAGCTTGTGACTGCTCTGAAGAATGACCACTTGAAAAAGGCAGTGTGATTAATGTGAAACATGAAAATAATTCCTTTTGTTTACTGCTACGCAAGAGAAAGTAGGAGACTAAGGCATTTTGAGAAGCTTGCAACTTTAAGAGTGATTCATCTCATCTTCCCTTCTAGTTTCTGGGAAAGATTATAAATAATTTTTATCTTTCAGAGACACATCTACCATTCCCTGCACCAGTAATAAAGCAGCAATAGTTAACACTGCTGTTCAATGTTTTGCAATGATAGGAATTGGTTCAATATTTGCAGAGCAAAAGCACGCACCATTTTCAATAGGAAAATAACAGCACTTGGACACTACAAACAAGGAGGTGTTTATAAATAAATTGATTGTTTTGAGTTATACTTTGGTCTGATCTAACAGACTACAGTGAAAAAGGAAAATATACTAAAAYGTTAAAATACAAAATTAAGCTAGCTAATTTTCCTATAATAAAATTCAAAAAATCYCATTTCTTTTACAGATAAATCAATAAGCTAAAAAGGAACAGACATATTACACTCAACTTTCTGGATACTTACTATATTGTGTCTCCTTGCTCTTCTTCCAAAAGTATATTCCAAGGCTAATGTTGGTTTTGGAATCTCTTCCCTATGAAGCAAAGAAAATTAACAAAATTTTATTTTGTTAAGATCTTCTAAAAATATTTACATCAAATTAACTTAGTTGTCCTTTTACTAAATTCTATTTATCACTCAGTAGAGGATTAGGCTTAGCAACAGCACTACATAAACTACATTTTAAGGCATGTTAAGACAACAGRTCTCAGTTCATTAGATGTTGCTTAAGACAGAAGGAGCAGCAGCAGAACAGATGTCCATTTGGAATCTCTCGCATTGGAAAGGAGGACTGAAGGGCTCAGGTGACAGGTGGTAAWGAAAGGGAATAAGTTTATCCATACCTGATGAAAGGATCGCAGAAAACCCGTGTACACAGATATTATGAATGATCACACAAGATAAGTACATATGTAAAATTCTGCAAATATTAGTCAACTGGCTTTAATAATGCAAGAATGTAAATGCTTAAATACCATTATCAAATCCTGGCAAATAATGGCCTAGTTTTCAAGGCTAAGTCTATTTGTGACCAATATTTTAAAGAATTCTCTTTCACTGGCAGCTGCTTCTTATGCCATTCCTTATGATTACCAGCATTTGAGTATTCAGTTTAAGAATACATTAAAAATGTTAAGACCTACCTGTCAAGACACCTCAGTATTATAGTAGTTTTTCCCTGGAAATCAAAAACAAAGAAGGTGACCACTATAATATCATTAAGCTATAGAAGTTATACAAGTTATACAGTTAAATGCAACTCATTCTTCTAAAGTTCTAGTAATAAAGTATCTGAAAAGTGTAAACTTATTTAGTTGTTTAAAGCTTTGTTAGTGGAATTTTAATTATCACCTTTCTGTCAGGATGCAGCAACACTACCATTATTATAATTACAAACTAGTGGAGAAAACAAATATAGTGGCAGTGCATGTAAATTTTAGACATAAGTGATTAACCTGGCCAACTCTGTTAAACTGTTCACCTGTTTTTATTTGTTAACAGTGATTAATGATTGGTTTCCACTGGTTTTGCTTAAATTGTTATTGATTAGATTGGAATAAAATGCTAAAATGAATATATATGAATATATATAAAATATATATGAAAAATATATGAACATGAACATAAGCCTCCCCCACCTCCCTAAAGGTCTTTATCCTGCTGAAATTCACACTTAAAGGGACTTGGACAGCTTCACTCCCATTTCCTTTCCTACCTCAAAAATCTATTAATTTTATGTAATGTGAAAAGTACCTGTACTTTCTCTTTAAAAAAACACTTTTAAAATTGCAAATAAGAGCTTGTGYACATATCGATCCCTCTAAAGTAAAAATTGCATTCTTAAAAATACGATTCGCTTGGATAAAAAGGCACATACTTSCTTATCTACATTTCACACAAATGCTTACAGGAAAAAAAAATTACTAATGATGAAGCTTATGGAGCACATGTGAGCCTGCAATCACTTCTAATGCATTTTCAAACGTATTTCATATAAATACCGACACAGTTCTGAGTAGGATGATGGGGCTTCTATTTACAGTAGAACTGATCTGTACCTGGTTCCTTCTAAACCTTTGCAAGGGGAGATTTGGTGACAGTACGTCAGAGAACTCGAGTGTTTTTATTCGAGCATTATTCCTGGCTGTTTTTAGACAAACMAGAGTAGGCAGCCCCCACAGAACGAGCAGGTCCCTGATCAGAACCACTGGAGTTTGGGCACTGCCGAGCACAAACTTGAGCTTCTGAACTACAACAGTCTCCAAGTGCTCAGAMCCAGGGCACACAACACTTGGTCTGCCCCGAGAAGCGAGGCAAATGCTCCCCAGGTATTTCCCGTAGCACAGACTGTTCACAAGAGGCACCCGATCATGCAGTATTTGTCATTACCCCATTTTTGCTCCCCACAAACAACACGGACTTTTCCGAAACTTCCGCACTCTCGCCATCACCTTCAGCGTTTTCCCTTTTCTCCACTTCAGCTACAGCAAGATCCCACAAAGTACTAGGCAGAAAAACAAGACGTCCTTAGAGAAAAACTGTTCACTCGTGACATTTCGTGAAAACATCTGAACAGATAAATGACGGGACTGTGATGATTTTTACTTCCTTTTCCCATTAAACTCCCCGTGCTCGCCGGAGCATATATATTTATATATATCTTTAACGGAACCGCGTTAAGACCCCTCACGGAGCCGCTGCGGGGGAGGCAGGGCGGGCAGCAGCCACGCGGCGGGCGCCGAGCGGCGCCTCTGCCGGCTCTCCCAAGGACGAAGCAGCTTCTCCTCCCACGCGCCGCGGCCCCGGCCYTGCGGGTGCAATGGCCCCTCCGCGGCCCCCCTCCCTCAGCCCGGTCCCGGGGGGACAACGGCCGGGAGCAACGGCCGCAACGGCCCCGTCGCCGCCCCAGTAACGGCCGCTCCGTCACCTGCCCGCGGGCATCGCTCCTCGGCGCCGCGGCCCCGCTCCGCGTCGCCACGGCAACCGCGCASGGCACGCTGGGACACGGGCGAGGGCGGGAAGGGCCGCGCGGCGCCTTCCGGCCGGGTCGGGCCGCGTCGCGGCGGCGGCGCCATGAGCGGCGCCTCGTTGCGCACGCCCCGCGGGGCCGAATAACGGCCGGGAGCGACGTGTGGTTGTGGTTACATGTTCTGCCCGAGAGACATCCCTTCCTAATGGTTAAACTCGTGGTCCCCAAGGTAACTGTTAACAGAGAAGTGAGGGAAACAAGAGGTGAACCCCTCACCATGAGGAGGCCCTAAGCAATAAATAATGAAAAGGTGATTTTGCCAGATCTTTAACTTGCGTAATCGTTCACTTTCAGTTCTAGAAGCCTCTATGTGGTTATTGCTTTCCACTGTCGGAGGTCTCTTCCAGGCCTGGATGTAAATCTAAAGCATTTGCCTTAGAACGAATGCAGAAACCAACGGGTACCACAGCCTTGGGAATGAAAATCGTGAAAGAAACTCGATCTTCAGCGCTGTGCAGTGGCAGGTCATGCTGCCGCCTTCCTGAGGGCATTCGTTTCATAAAGATTGAGGTGGCATTTCCAGGATCTTGGTGCATACAATGGACATTGCACTTGTGCTCCCAAATTCATTTTTAGTGAGTTACTAATCACATTAGTTAAAATTAACTCAAACTRCTAGATTGTGCTAAACTGCATGCACTGTTAAAGCTCTAACCCCAGGTTTAATTGTTTCATTCCTTCATGTGAGGCTGAGTTTCCTCCTTCAGGACCTAACTTACAAACATTGTGTTACTTTGACAAGTAACTCCAAATACCTATCAGCTTTCTTTTATAGGGAAATACATTTTTTTTTTTTCAAATTAAATCAGCAGAAAGCACCATTTTTGTTGATTGCATTACAACTCAAGGTGTTRGCCTTTGTCTGCTGGACCACAGCAGTACCTATGTCCAGGAGTGCCCAGAGCTTGTGTACCAACATTGCCACACACACACACCCACAGAAATCAATGCGGCAAACTGAAGTTCAAGTAAGGTATTAATTTACGTTGTGTTCCACGTGTTGTTTATTTTCAGGTCAATGTGAGTGTTTACACAGAGTTACCAGTGACCTCTGAGTGGTCTCAGCCTCGCTGACCGTAGGCAGTGTCACCATCAYGGCTGCTAGTTCACAGCAAGCACAAAAACTGCTCTGAAGTTCATGATCAAGGGCGAAGCCTCCTTGCAAGTGCTATCCCCATCAGTATGATGATAAGAATATTTTTATGCATGCCAAACAATGCAATCTAAAATAAAACATAATTACTTGGTGTAGTAGTCGGGGTTGATTTCTCTTATAATTTTGTGATGAAATGAGGACTGTTTTTGTTTCAAAGTTGATAGTCATCCCAGCTGAACCACTTTTGACTGCAACTGGAGTGTAACTGATGCAGTTTGAGATCTGATTGAGTTTGCAAAGAACTGAACATCTCTGGGAGTTAATTACTGATCTCATAGGGATCTTGACCTTGATGTCTGACTGGTATCACCTTACCAGGGTATATTACACACACAGACACAAAATGCTGTAGTTGGTGTCCGGGCCTCTTGTAGCCTCCCATATGCTGATAGCAGGAGATTTGCTGCCCGCTGGGATGTAAGTCTCCTGCTCCAGACTGTTACAGAAGGAGGTGAAGGATATAGTCCCATAACCACTTCCACAGAGCAGAAGCAATCAGGAACCTCTTTCCCCTTTTCAAAAGGGAAAGTATCTAGATGAGATGGAGTGTGTGCGTTATTTCCTTGTAATTGTCAGGACAAAGAATTAATTCTTAGCATACATGGTCCTGGAGTCCTGAACACTGTAGCTTTTGGATTTGAGTATTTTGAAAGCTTTCACAAGACTTACTCATTCAAATTCTCAACACAGTTTTTAAAATATTCTTCTAAAAAAAGGCATCCTTTCTAATCTATTTCAATTCCTCATCAAGATACTTGGTGCCTTTCATAGAGGGCAAACCGTGGAAAATCACTAATCTCTTTCAATCTGCATATACTAGGTATGAAGTGTTTTATCATAAAAAAGGAGATTTTTAACCTTCAGATATTTAAATTTATCATGATGAAATTACTGCAGTTTCAAGTAATTAAAAATATGAGGGTTAACACATTATTAAGTGATAAAAATATCCATGATCATTAGCATTTGCAGAGTGGAAATTATAAAACATATACGGATCAGTGCTTTATGCTTGACTCATTTCTATGGCTGCATCTAAATTATACTGCTCTAATTGGATGCTTGATCCACTCAAAAGCCTACAGATATGACTTCTTTGCACAGAAAATAAAATGTGAAGATGCAAATCAAAAAAGGAACTGGGAAGTGTTCCCAGGCCCAACAGTACAGTTGTAGCATTACATCCTTCACTGTGCAATAGGATCCTCTTGGTATTATAATATGAAATGTATGGATAGCAATGAAAACAACAAGAGATATAACTTTTACAAAATATTATTCTGAATCCTTATATATACATTATACACATGAGATACTATATGTCACATATCTCCAAGGTTACACACYGCAATTTAAACAATGGCTTTCTGTGTTATTCTTGTGTTTTGAATTATGAGTCACTCATGTATCTGGATTATATTATTATTTTGGGTTAAGGAATTATTATTTGTGTTCTTGTTTAATAAAACTATATTAAATACAATGCCTGTCCAATTTAGATTTTTGCTAGGGGAAAGAGAGGGATTATTTAGAAACATACCCAGCAAAGGATGAAGTTTTGCCAAATAAATGCATGTGTATATGTATTTGTTTTATAACAAGGGCTAAAAGTATTCATGAAAATACACTTTAGATTTATGATCGTATATGATGCATTTCCATCTTAAAAAACAAAATGTAGAAACTAAATAATTCATTCTCTTCAGTCYCATCGTGCTTGTATTGCAAACGAGGAGGGGTGCTGGAGATGAAAAATTTTCTGTGGTTGACCTTTCTTTTACAATATACTTTTTTTCACAATGAAGATTACACAACTTGTAATTTTGAAAAACAGAGGTGAAGGGTTGCAGACAGTTTGGTCCCTGAGAAAACATCTCAAAAATGATTTATACCTATGGAATTGTTCCTAAGGCCACCCTTCCCCATCACTAACAACAGCCACGTTTATTTTGGGGCTGTAGGGACAAGCCACCCCCAGAAAAGCAGAGTGCAGAAACAGGCTCATCTTCATAATTCCAGGGCTCATCTTCATAATTCCAGGTCAGGCCAGGGTTTTAGTTGAAGGAGGACTCCTCTTAAATATGACTGGAATGAATGTAAACCCATCCACCTTTCTTCTGTTTATAAACCTCCCTGTGCTGTGTATCTTGCCTACTAGAAAATATTCTATCAGTATAGAAACCATATAAATAAGGCACATTACCGTGACACCTAATCCCTTCATAACAAAGTGGGGCACTTAGTTGGTCTGTTGTTTGTGAGGAGGGGCTGACTCCCCATTTCCTTGAGTTTCTGTCCAGTTTGAGGTGTCAGTAGTGCTGGAGCAGAGAGATGATGAGCAGCTCCTTTCTGCTGATGGAAGTTGTTAATATAGCTGGCAATCAGTAGAGTGATCTCAAGAATCTGTAACAGGAACATAGAAATCTCTTTGAAAAATACAGTGATGTGTTTTGACTGCTGGAAAAATAGCTAACTTTTCAGCAAGTGACAATCACCATCAACTGGAGAAGTACGTGCACTTTATTAAATTAGTGATGGGAGAAAGGAAGTGCCTAATAGAGCTTTTTCTATCTCAGCTTGCCAGTAATGAATTGCTGCTCCCAAGAGCATGCTGAATGCTTTGTCTTGCACAGTTTAAATGGYTCAAACAGGTGGCTTCTATCACCTCTTCAAGAGAGATTCTGAAGTCTGCTCTTTGGAAAAAAGCTTTTGCATCGTCGCCCCTCACTTTTTTTTTTTCCTGGTTATCTAGTGCTCAAGGACTAAAGATGCAGAGTAGACAGAAGGCAGGAAGACATCTGCGTGCTTTGTACCATCCTTCTCTTTGCAACCCACAAAACCTTGCCTATAAGGGCACAGTCTGAGGGAAGTCAGAGTTCTGGCCCACATTTATATGTGGTATTTCACATTTTGTTTTACGGATTGTTCTGGCATATGGCAAGAAACTCGGAATTCTGTGCTTGCTTTCTCATATAGCCAACTCCTATCAGTGAAAGACAGAAACTAGATTTTAAAAAGCCAAGCAGTTTCTTTACCAAAGAAAACAAATCCTAGAATTTTTAAGAAGTGATAGATGTTTTAGAAGTCCACTGTACAACACAGTGATTTTTTAAAAATTATCTAGGGCCTTGATTAAGCAGACTAATTTTTAGATAATGTCTGTCCCTTCTGTCCTTTATCCTTATACGAAAAATCTGGAATGCTAGAGAAAAGGGACATTAATATCCTCTCTGACAGCTCCTATTTTGTTCTACTAATTGTTCTGCTCTCCAAAACCATCTGGCAAAAGTCAATATCCTGAGGATGCTAGGAATAAATAAAGTGTTTCATCTCTTGCATCTGCTAAAGATTACCCCCTGCTAAAAGTAGGAAAGCTGCAGATGGTGGGAAAGTATTTCAGGTAGTACACCAACCTTTGGTTTTGTCATGGCAAAAAGGAGTTTTTCAGTTGATTTGTCCTTTCTCTGAGCATTGTTAACAACCAACATAAAATCATCTTGATAGCCTCCAAAAGTCATCAGACTCTTATATGTATATGAAACTGTTAATCGCTTAAAACAGAAAACCCAAAAAACAAAACAGAAAGCTATAAGCAGGTAAATGCAGGAAAAAGAAACTATGACAAATACTTCTTTCAAAAATATAATTACATATCTATTTTTGAAAATGTTAGTGTTAGTCTCTTACAGATCTCAAAATTAGTATCTTTGGGATAGATTCACTCAGACCTTCACTATGAACAATCTCCATTGCAGATGGTAAGACTATCACATGAAAGTTTGACCTCTGTTTCTATTCCAGGTAATTTAGATAAAAAATATTTTGAACGTGTTTCTGCTTAGAGATATAATTCAAGCTATACAAGTCTTGACTGCCTTTGAGAGAATTTAATTATAGGAATTCCACTTGGAATTGAAGCAGAGTCTAAATAAGTCAAATGGCAAAGTGTATGATTTCTAAAGGGATTTAACCCCAGGATTTCTTTTTGTGCAGTGATATAATTTACATACASACAAATGAATGCTGTCCCGGAATGCTGTAACTAGCTGTGCAGGAGATAGTGTTTATAAAGCCTTCTGCAGGCTGATGCAAGCTAATTTTGCTTGTTATCTGTTCAGAGCTGCTGCTGTACAGCTCTCCTCGCTTTGTTTTGTTTTATTAATCCCTTTAAATACAAAGAAACATAATGAAAAGGCCCATATCAATACAATTACAAAGTTGAGATTTTCTATTTCTGAAATTCAATATTAGCACTTSATAATAGCAACATGACATTCTGTTTCTTTGCAGGATATGAATTAAAGCATGGATCTGCTTAGACATTGCTTTTTATGCTGATTACTGTTAATTGTTTTCTGTAAAAAACTTTTATTGCAAATCAAAGAAAAATCAGCGCTTAAGATGACATAATTAAATAACACTGGGTTATATTACCTGCTATTAAACAAAAATAATACAATGAAAATAGCAATCTTTTTATGCAACTGCACTTTGCAGAGTGTATGTATTATGAATAATAATGGAAAATTAAAGTCTGCAAGAGGAGAAAATTAATATTATTGTAAGAAYTGTAACTATGGATCTCCTGATATCTGCATGATTAAAACATTAACATTTCATTAAAAGATATAAAACTGTATCTAATAAACAAAATAAATTCAATGCAAAAAATCATTATATGCTTCTATTATCTGTAACAACGATAACATTAAAGCATTTAGAAAGGAATCACTTTTTGCTTCAAGAGAAAGACTAGATACTTACCATCATGACACGTCACCTTCCATATACTATGGTGTTAAATCTCCCTAACTGCTCAGTATTAAAATGTACTTTCACCAAAACTTCAAAAAAAAAAAAAAAAAAAAAAATCCCTTACCATTGAGCTGTAATCTAGGATGCTTATGCCATCTTCATGCACAGCAAACCATATGAAAGACTTCTCAAGTGGGGATGTTGCTACAGGCTACAAAGAGAAATAAATGTTCTCTAGTTACAGCTGTAAAGTGAGGCAATATTTAACTGATTAATAACAACCAGGTCTTACAGAGTCTCTTCATGCATGTGTCTTACAGAGGTTTATGGCTGGAAGGGAATTGATGGAAAGGATGTGCGGCGACTGCCCAAAGGAACGTAGGAGGTTAATGGCAGAACTTTGAACTGAGCCTAGTATTCTTAAAGCATCCCTCCTAGTGTAATGAACTGCATCATTTTACTAAAACAAAAGAAAACAGACAAACAACCCCCCCAGGCATTTTAAAGTTCACTGGCACGTATGTCTATGCATTAAAGGAAGAGTGACAAGCAGTTTGGGTTTATCTGCTAGAAGTTACGGGAGGAAATGGCAGTTCTGTTTTCCGTAGTGGTTATTAGAGTTGCTTACTTTTGCTG